CTCCTNTCTCTCTCTTCTTCTTCTTCTTCTTCTTCTTCTTTCTCCTCCTCCTCGTTCCCCTTTTCTTTTACCTGCCTCCTCGTGGCGTGCACACCGTCGATTTTATCCGACGGTAATTTATCGTGATTTCAGCCTGATCGTGCCCGATTAAATATTTCGGAAAAACGATTCCTCGAACCTCTCCCTCGTAAGTTGCACAACCTAAGTATAAATATTCTGTGCATCGTTTATAATTGTGATTTAGTAGTAATTCGTCCTCTCGTAGAACGAGAAACGGAAGGCGTAGTCTCGAAGGCGAATACGTTTCATAAACCCGTTTCTTTTCCCATTTAACTCATTTTTAATTCGGGGCTTCGTCGATAGCGGATTACCAGGCTGAATCCCCTTTTGTTCGACGGGCAGATTTACAGTTTCGTAGAACGATTTGCGTTCCTGGAACAGCCACGCCTATCTCCCATGAATCTCTTTCGAAAGGGGTTGCGGCATTCCGCCACGGATGTATCCTTTAATAAAAAAAAAAAGAAAAAACGTGGGAGGTGTTGCAAAGCAGTAACGCAACTGCTTCTCATCGGCACGCCTTTCCACCTCCGTTTCGACCGAATTAATCGGCGTTTAATCTTGAAACGTTCTCCTCCTTTCCAAATTCCGTATTCTCTCTTTCCCTTGATCGAAACTTCGACTTCGATCGAAGCAAACGTTTCACCATGATTTTCGATTCGTTCGAAAAACTTTTGCCGTCGTGCCGATGCTCGTTTCATACGAATATACATACGGGTTAAAGATCAACGATCGCAACGTCGATCGATGAGCAGGAAGTGCACGACTCTATTACTTCCGAGGCGAAATCCTATTTACAAGAGGCTCGTGATAACAGTTGGATGGTTAGGCGCCTTCCCCAGTGGAACGACCGAGGGGATAATTAAGGTAGCACGAGCAAGACGACCAAGCTTAACGGTGATTTCCAGCGCATCTACCTAGGCCCGGCAATTAAGATAATCGCGCGCTCTCGACTACGTCTCTCTCTGCTCTCTTCATTCCCTCCTTCCCCTTCATACGATATCGATACCTAGAATTCTTCCGCAACTTTTATTCCGTACAACTCTCCTCTCCTCTCACGAATCGTTCGCTCGTCACAGTTGCTGGAAATTTGAATAAATTTGAGATTAAAAATATCGGGAATCTGCCATTGTGAAAGCCATCTTCGTCTTCATTCTTTTCGACCTCTCCATTGACCCGCCGTTGCTCGAAACACGCGGAAGATGTTTGTTTTCCAGAATGTCGGCCACGGAATAAAGGAGCGTGTACATATTTTTCCCATCTTTTCTCCTTCCCCTCTTTCTTTCTTCCTTCTTACTCCTCCACCGTTTTGTTCCTCCCCCCGCCCCGGCTCGCTTCGAGACCAGCATAGCCAGTCGCTGTGTCATCGAGCCCCGATACATCATAAATATAAATTGATTTCTGGATACGTGTTGGTACAAATGGGACGCGGCGCACACGCTTGCCGCGAAAGTCGTTGGCATACGCGCCCGGCCTATGGCTACGTTCTGGAATTTTAATGCGCCACGAGGAGGGAACACGCGCGGGGAAAATGACGAATGAATCGCACGACGACGAATTTCACGACGATCTTGCCTCGGCTGGGACAACTTTCCAACCGCTTCCTTCCTTCCTTCGTTGCATTTCGTCCTTCGAATACGAAGTGCCAAGTTGAAAGTTTCTTCCATCTTTTCGCGGGATCGATCACACGAGGTGTGATCCTCCTTTTCCACCCCGATTTTATCATTCGCAGAAAAAAGGGTTACATCGAAACGAATGGGAAACTCTTACGAGAGTCGGATTTTCAAAAGTGTTTCTCTCGAGTCCGTTTAATCGCAATAATCGCAATGGTGGAAGTTGCAAGTGGGCATTTCCTGAAGATCGCGATAAACCCGTGTCCGCGCAAAGTGCTACGAACTCTACGTAGCTTGATAAATCTGAACGAATCGCGCGCGCGATAAACACCGCCGATTCCAAATCTTCTGAAAAATTCTTATCAGGTAACGTATAAATAGAGTCGGCGGGACGGGTGTCGAATCCTCGTCTCGTCTCGTCCCGTCTCGTCTCGAGAAGTCGTTGTACCTTTGCCTTGCGATTTCCTTGGAAAACAAGAGCGTTTACGACGATCGATCACGACTCGGCCATTCGTAAGATCGTGGAGATCGGCGCAGGGAAGGGCTCTCGATAGACAACAATGTTGCTCGCGTCGCCAAGATTAGGAATGCATGGTGCATTCGCTTTTCGAACGAGTTGCACGCCCGTTGCACGTCACTATGAATAGAGGCGGTGGTGGATCCTATTCACTTTCAGTTTCTTCCCTCTTCTTCCATCTTTCGTCTCCTACGAATCGTTGAACGAAATCTTGGAACAAATTCGTCGAGAGCGTTTCTCGCTCTCCTCTCGAAAATGGGATCTCAATTTTTCGCTTGCACTTTTACTTTTAAAATTGGCACGTGCAATGAGTCACGTGTGGCCGATATGTGTGTATACGATAACGTAAGTAGTGCAGTGACGTAGCGACGTGTTAGTCAGACCGCACACGGAGTTTGGCGCAGTTAGCGGGTTTAACGGGCGCAGAAATTTCCGGGCCAGCTGTTTTCCAGCTATAGACACCAACGTTTCGCTTGCTTTTGTTACACCTTGGTTCATTTCTCGAACCAACTGTGCCATTCCAACCTATGTCTTCCAACTCGTCGAACGATTATTCGATAAAAAATATATTCCGTGCATCGATGAAATTTCATCCTTCATCGTGGGTGTAAACGATTGTTTCGAAATTGTTTCAAAATTGTTTCGACCAGATGACCGCGGTTATTAAGGGGAAAAGGGTTTAATGATCGAGGAGCGTTGATTATTTGGTGGAAATCCATTTGACCCAGTTCGTTCCCTCTATTCTGCCCGCCGAAATTGGCCGACTCCCCTTTGTTCGTGTGCAGCTCCTCCTCGTACACGAGTCGCCCGCATTCCTCCGTTAGGTACTACGCGCTGGGGGAAAAAGCAGCCGGAGAGCCCTCCTCCTCTCTCTCGAGAGAGAGAGAGAAGAAGGAAAGAAAAGAAAGAGAGGAAAAAAAGAGGTAGAAGAAAGAAGAGGTGAATTTACAGGCGAGCGCGGCCTGTAATGTAGTCAAGCCTGCCAGTTCAAAGCGAGCTCGCGTACGAAGACGCGATTCGATTCACGCTTTGAAGCGAGGAGATGCAAGGAGATGCGTTTGCGATTAGTTTCTTCGTCTCGTCGTCGCTCTGTTTCCAGCGGGGGGATTTTTTTATCGAATCGGGAATATTTTCGAGCATCGACGAGTTAAAAACGCATTTACAAAGCTCGAGTTTTCAGGGATATATCGAATAATATTATCGAAAGATATACCTTGGTTGTGCGAACGAGTCGAAGACCGTTGGTAGGCGCGTGAAATGCAATTTTCGAGCCGCGTGTTTCAAAGACACGTACACACAATCGCACACACAATCGCCTACCCTCCTCCTCTACATATTGATGACGCATCTCTCCTCTGTGTACACACAGAAGCCGGCTCGAATAAGCGCGCATACGTGTGCGAGCAGATTGTCGAGACGCGCGTGTCCACGCTCGCGAGGGTGATATCGAAATACTATCGCTTCCCACGCGAGGAGGAGCCTCGATTCTGTCTGGCCAGAGCTCCGTTCTGTGTTCTTTACGTGCGTGCGTAAAACCCCTCCTTATTGGGAAACTTTAATGGCTAGGCCACGGTTACACCACGCCGAGCATACTTTATACCTTCGACCATATTTGTCCCACGATTCATATCGTGACAGGATTCGAAGATGGATTCGGTAACGAGCCCCTTTCCCCTCGACTGTCCCGTTGCCGCCAACAACAACAATTCGATACAACTTTTCCCGCGACCACGCTTTCTAATTCCCTGTATAATTAATAATTAACCGAAGAATACAACTTTTTTTTTTTTACAACGCGCGGATTCCAATATCGTTGTGAAATCGTGTTGTACGAGAATTTTTTTCAAAATTACGATTGAAAAAAGAGACAAGAATCGGAAATGTTATTATGCGTGATCCGATAAATCTTCCTCTGTACACAACCGATCCAATTTTAATTCAAAATTGAATCACTCAACTACTTCGCTCCTCCTCCATATCTATAAATATCCTTATTTAATATTTTTCTTCAATTTTCGGATAGCTGTGGAAGATTTTGCAAATACAAATAGGAAGAGTTCGTTTCCGCCCGATTCGCGTAAAATGGAACGTTTTATCAACTCGCGAAAGGCGAGGGCCGTGTTTCCCCGCCACGGAGGAGGCGTTATTATTACATCGTAGAAATACCTTGGCGGGCCTCGCCACGTAATAACTGTCATAGACGTGTTGGTCGTGGCACGGGCCAGAATCGTCGCGGTTTACCAGATCGTAACCAGATCTTCGAGTTTCGAGGTTTACGGCCTCGCGCTGGGCCATTCGGGGATGGTGGGGGCGTTTCGCCTATCGTAAGCGAAATATCGCAAACGATTCGTGACGATATTTTTCTCTCTCTCTCCTCTCTGAGGAAAAGAAGAGGAAGGATTCGAAGAATTGCTAATTTTGCGGAAAGATTATGCGGAGGATTGTACGCGTTTGATTACGCGATCCCCCCGCTATCTCGTTTCAGACGGCGTTTCGTGCTGTCTCGTTGATTTAGAAAGAAGAAGAAGAAGTCGGAAAACGGGGAGCAGAAAAAAAGGAAGGTCCCAGCGAAATAAATTAATTAATCGTTCTGCTGTCGCTTTCGTTTAAACGTAATTCGTTCCAATTTAACGGTCTACCGTCGTCCAAAATAAATTCAACGAGAGAGAGGCGACATTGGAGTTAGAAACGTATCGAAGGATATATAAAGTGTGGAATTTCTTTTATAAAACGGATGAACGATTCGCGAAGCGAAAGTTGTGCGGGCGTGTGTTTTTTGTTGTTGATTGTGAACGAGAGAAGAAAGAGAGTCGAAACCATCCCGCGAAATGCATAATTCATGGTGGTGGTGGTGGTGGTGGGCCCCGTGGTTTTATGGCACACCCCAATGCTGGTGTAAACAGTCGTAAATTAATGCAATTGGCACACGTTTGGTTCGCCGTGTGCGGCAGAAAATGGGAGAGAGAAGGAGGAAAATCGAATCGATGCATATCCATCGCGAATTTTCTCCAATTCGAAATTCATATCGAATCCAATCGTATCGAATCGAAATTTCGTCCGTCGAAAGAAACAATTTTTACGATGCTCGGTTTTCAAAGTTCACGAATCTATCGAGTCTTACTCTCGCGCTCGAAGCAGAGTCAATTGCATTAAAGGATCGCGTGTGTCATTCGAGATCCGGCTATCAATGGGGTTGCCTGTTTTGCATCGCAAAGGACTGCTCGTTCTATTGTTCGCCTTTCTCGATAATTCCGTTTCTCCGCCGGGGAGCAAAAGGAAATAAATATTCGATCATCGAAGGGAACACGTATACCTATCCACTTTTGACTTGCTCGCCTCTTTCTCTCTCCGAACGAAGGAAAAAAAGAAAAAAAAGGAAAGAAAAGGAACGCGAACGATTCGAAATAAATTTTTCACCCACCTCGGTCCTCGTGTTTTCCTCGTGCAACCACAAAAGAAACCACGAAACAGCGAGAATCGTTTTCTCCGCTCGTCCGATTACTTTATGGAACAACTTTGATTTTTAATTTTTATGTTTAAATTATTCCAGTGGCCAAGTATCGGGAACTGCGAGGAAACAGCCGAGAGAGAGAGTGTTCCCCGCTGTCAAAAGGCAAAGCGCGCTCGACGATCCGCTTCCTACGCGCGACGCTGCGCGGTCAAAGCGCCGAGCTGAACTGAAGCTATAACCGCTCGAGATCACCGCTATAACGCGTGGCGAACGTGGACGGAAGACCTGATGACTGAGACTGGTTGGATCTCGATGCTAAGTTTTTGTCGATTGACCGATAATTGGCTGCAAGTGCGGCGGAAGGGTGGAAGGATAAGAAGAGAAAGTTATAATAATAAACGACGTGTTGGTAAAGAGGAGGAGGAAGAAGAAGAAGAAGAAGAAGAAGAAGAAGAAGTAAGAGACTTTCATTACGAAAAAAATTATTACCTCTTATTGGCTTGTAATGAAAATTTAATTAATAAAATTGATTGATAATAATGGCAAAAATATTGTATATTTCAAAGTAATCGTTAATTTAATTAAAGCTTCGAACCTAATCCCATATAAAATCCTGACTATTGAGCGTGATGCCAGAATCCCTTTCCATTACGTAGCGCTACCAGAAACCAAGGTCGATACTTTCCATAAGCTTTTTCCTCGTTCCATCCAATGGGGATGAATGTCGTTCTTTCGGCTTCGGATTACAACCACCATGGGGTGGATGGTTTACGAGAGAGGGTGTTCCTTAGAGGCGCCAGCATTTATGGGTTTATCGCTGGTGTTACGTTTCCATCGTTTCGAAGAATAGGCAAACATTTGTGCTATGCAATGTATTAAAATAAAATAATTTTTCCAAGGAATAAATTACTTAAGAATTATTTTCAATGAAATTCGACGTTCAATTGATCGATAGATTCGTGACAATTTATTTTTAACCTCGCGGATTAAAGTTGTAGGGAGAAAGTTTTATAAAAGGAAATATCATGGTAGATAGAAAAAGCAAATACACTGTTTCGGCTAGAGATAAAATATCATCGTTAGGAGGTAAATTTTTTGAATATTATTTTCTTGAATGAAAACGATCGACGACACGATTAATTTAATTTAGGCGATACGTTGAAGAATTTGAACGAAAATTTTACTACTGAATTTTTGAAGTATGCAGATGAATACAACGTTTATCCCTTGCCAAAAATTGTAGTGAGTTTCCGGTTATCGTATTTTCTTAATTTTAGTTTTCTTGAAGGAAATTATATTTTTTAAACAAAAAAAATTTCGTTCAAATTTCAGAAAAACATGGATTACCGTATATCCAGCGTATCAACAATTTCGGAGAAGTAATCATTTCTAAATGATTCGAAATTTATCAATAATTTTGATCGAGAACTTTTATTTTAAGAATCGAAGATGATGAATCTCCTATATTTCATTTAACGTATACGAACAAGAAATTCCTATCTCCGATAAAAATTGAAAGCAAAGATAAGTATCTTTATAAAAATTTCTTACTAATAATAATGATAATGATAATGTGTATCATTTGATCTAATTCTTTTTTTCTTTTCGCCGTACGGCGCGAGATATCGATCTGTGTATTAGATGCATTGAATTCTACGATGCAAAAGTATAATACCATCACAGTATTAAAGTAAATCAAACGATCATTTCCTTTTCGTTACATGCTTAAAAAAGAAAAATAAATATTTTTATCGTGATCTAATATCCTACAAGATTACCGAACTGTAAAATAAACGCATTCGGCATCATGCAAATTGCGGAAATGATAATGAATATAAAATGCATCAAGGATTTAAATTTAGATATGAATCCGAACACGCAAGAAAATTATCATTTGCTCTGCACACCTGGAGGAAGGTAAGTGAATAGTAAAGTTACACGTAAGATCGTTTTAATAAATAATTTAATAGATAAAATATTTAGTTTGAAATATCTCTCTTTGAGACTTTGTGAAATAACTGATAATGGAATAAAGAAAATTGCAAAAGAATTAGAATACCATGATCCTCCGAATAATCCTAAGTTAACTATATTAAATTTGGCATATAATCATATAACGAAAAATGGAGCGAGTCATATAGGAAAAATGCTTCGAACAAACAGGTAAATTCATCAGCATTATATGTATATATATATATATATATGTATTTATAGTTATTTCACACTCACTATTCCCAGATTTCGTCCCAGATCATTCCTCTTTTTCACAATCTTTAACAATAATTCCTTAAAAATTCCACGATAGAAAATATTATTAGAAAACAAATTTATATATAAAATATATATCTTTATCTATAAAGTATATAGAAAAATTTTACAATATATGTATATTTTTTAATAAATAAAAGTATAGATATATTTCTTTATATACATATAAAAAACATTCAAATAAACTTCATTATAATTTTTAATCAAGGGATTACGATAATCAGAATGCAAACAAGGAAAGTTTAAGAAAAATGGAACAAAGATAAAAGCTAGAATAAAAATTGAGAAATCAGAATCAATAGAGAATATCACAAATGAAACATGTATAACTATATAAACTATAAGGATAAAAAATATTAGGAAAAGGATAGAAATAGAATAAAAATTAACTATCAGCACCAACAATTTTGGAATATCAAAAATATTTCTCTAAAATGACGTTAATATTCAATTCTTATCTTACTTTTTATCTTACTCTATTTTTAATCAAGAGATGGTAATAACAGTCAATTATTACTCTACCTCATCTTGCTTTTAGCTTTTAGCAGCCAAGAAATGACAAAAAAAGTCAATTCATTACTTTATTTTATCCTGCTTTTAGCAATCAAGAGATGGCAATAATAGTCAATTCTTACTTATCTTAATTTATTTTTGCAAGTCAAGAGATGGCAGTTACAATCAATTCTTACTCTACCTTATTCTACTTCTAATAATCAAAAGATAGCAAGAGAAAGTCAATTCTTACTCTATTCTAGTATATTTTTGCCAATCAAGAGATGGTAATAACAAATAATTCTTATATCTATCTCTATCTTTATCTTAATATTTACTTTCTTTATTTATATGTTTCATTTATGTATATCATAATAATAAAGATGACGCTGATTTCACAATTTTTACAATGTTATTATATTCCTTCTACTATTGTTTTTCTCATTTATCTTCTGATTAATTTCATTGGTTCATTTTTTCTAATTTATTGATATATTTATTGATATATTTTATTATTAATGAATTATTATTATTGATATATTTTATTATTAATTGCAATAATTTGTTCTTATATATATATATATGTATATATATATTATAAACGATACATTATTTGCATTATTACATATGCTTATTCTTTTTGTACTACATCATTATGTTTATATATCTTATATATAATTATATTATATCTTTATGTATTTCCATTTTTTATACACATTATTCATATATGTCACATATATATTTATTATTGCAAACATGTAGAATATGATTGCTATGATTAAAAAGTTGAATATATAAAAGTAATTATAAGAAAAGAAAGTACATTAATTTTCATAATTTAATATTCTATATTTCCATAATTAATACTAAGTAAAATGCATAAAAAATACATAAATGCTGAAATATTATCTTTAACAAATAAATATAAAAGGTAAGTACAAAAGATAAGTATAAAAGTTACTTCATTTAAAGTTATATTCTCCTAATATAAAAATTAATTTTATATTAATACCAAAACTTTTATTTTACTTTAAGAATTTCGATAATTCCAGGAATTTGACGTCAAGAACTGCCACAATTTCTCGAAATGTTTCTGTTCAATTTATATTTCTATAAAATTTACTCAAATTTTCTAATAATTTTTAAATAGAATAATATAATTGAAAAAGGAACAATATATATTCTGTATTTACTCTTTATTCTTTATTTACTTTACATAACTTTAATATTTTTGATTGATTAATTGATAATGATTTTTCAGAAAATATTTTTTAATAATTTACTTAAATCTAAAGGATTAGAAGGAATGTAAGAAGGAATAAAGGTTTTTTAAAAAAATTCATACATTTATTAAAAAGTAACATTTATTGAACATAATATACAATTAAAATTATATATTAACTAATTATTAATTGACTCATCTTGGCATATGAATTTATAATAACGTGTATAATATGTGTGGAAAAATTTTAAGAATTTGACATCATTTCCAGGAATAGGCAAAATTCCTAGAAAAATTTCTCGAGCAACTTCCTGTCAAATTATATTATCCTGATACAAACTCATATTTTCGGTCAAAAATTTCAATCTTAAAAATTTGGAAATTTCCGAGAATTTGACATCAGTTCCAAGAACTTTAAAAATTCCGAGAATTTGACGTCATTTCCAAGAATTTCAGAGATTCCGAGAATTTGACGTCA